TTTGAACAGACTTCCAAGTAAAGTTGTTGTAAAGACACCTTTTGAATTATGGACAGTATGCAAGCCAAGTTTGGCCCATATTAAAGTTTGGGGATGTTCAACTGAGGTTAGGATTTATAATCCATTTGAAAAGAAATTAGACCCTAAATCAACTCCTGACTACTTTATTGTGTATCCAGAGAAATCGAAAGAATATAAGTGTTACTGTCCAAATCGTGGTACTAAAATTGTGGAGTTCATTACTGCTAAGTCTCTGGAAAATGATTTTGGAGATAGTGGGAGTTTCAAATTGAGAGAAATTTTTGTTGAACGAAATCAAGTTGTTGTTCCAGTTATTGTTACACAGGAAGGAGTTAGTTCTCAACCAGTTAAAGTTGTTAACGAAGATCCGAGGAACCAAGAGGAACTTTTAATCCCTCAAACAATGATTGAATCAGTTTCTGAACCACAAGTTAGGAGATCACAAAGGGAAAGGAAATTCGCATTGCCCAATGATTACATTACATATTTATTGGAGCGATTTTAATATTGAGCATATTGTTGATCCTGTAACTTATAATCAAGCATTGACAAGTTCTGAGATAGATAAATGGATGGTTAGCATGGAAGATGAAATGAATTCTATAGAAAAGAATAAAGTTTGGGATCTTGTTGAACTTGCTTCACATGCTAAAGCTATAGATAACAAGTGGATTTTTAAAAGTAAATTAGATTCAAAAAGAAATGTTGAATGAAAGAAAGAAAGATTGGTTGCAAAAAGGTTTCACTCAACGAGAGGGCACTGATTATGTTGAAACCTTCTCCTTTGTTTTGTTGAATTTTTTTTTTCGAATTATCATGGCTCTTGTGGCATACTATAATTTAGAGCTTCATCAAATGAATGTTAAGACAGTATTTTTGAATGAAGATCTTTCTGAAATGGTTTATATGAAACAACCTGAAGGCTTTGTTGTGAAAGGAAAAGAAAACTTGGTATGTAAGTTAACCAAATCTTTATATGGTCTCAAACAAGCATCTCGACAGTGGTATTTAAAGTTTGACAAGGTTTGTGTCCTCTCTTGGTTTTTTTTGAAAATACAGTTGATCAATACATTTATCTCAAAACCAGGGAAAGAAATTTTATTTTTCATGTCTTGTATATTGATGACATTTTGCTTGCTAGCAGTAAATTAGAGTTGCTTCATGAGACAAAGAAAATGTTGCCTGCTAAGTTTGAGATGAAGATGTTGGAAAAACTTCCTATGTGCTTGGCATTGAAATAAATCATGATAGAAATTGTGACTTGCTGGGACTTTCTCAGAAAGCTTATATACGACGTATTCTAGAAATGTTCAATATATAGAATTGTGCACCTGGTGATATATCCATCATAAAAGAAGATAAGTTTAACAAAACTCAATGTCTAAAAAATGAACTAGAAATGGAATCTATGAGGATGATTCCTAGTGCCGTGGGGAGCTTGATGTATGCTCAAGTTTGTACCAGATCGGATATCACCTACACAGTATGTGTCCTCAGCAGATTTCAGTCAAATTCAGGACAAGAACATTAGAAAGCAGCTAAGAAAGTTATGAGATACTTGAAGAAAATTGAAGGTTATATGCTTATATTCCAGCGTTCAAATCATCTTGAGGTGGTAGGATATTCATATTCTAATTTTGCTAGATGTTAAGATGATTTTAAATCAACCTCAGGTTACATTTCATGTTAGCTGGTGGTGCTATCTCTTGGAAAAGTCCTAAACAGACTCTAGTGATATCTTCTATTATGCAAGTTGAATTTGTAGTATGTTATGGGGCTATAGTCCAAGCCGTTTGATTAAGAAATTTCATCTCTTGTTTAAAAGTTGTTGATTCCATCTCATGACCGATTATCATCTATTGTGATAACAGTGCAACAGTGTTCTTTTCAAAAAATAATAAAAGTTTTGGTGAGTCAAAGTATATTGACATAAAATATTTGGTAGTTAGAGACAGAGTCAATAAAGGACAGACAAAAATAGAGCATATAAATACAGAGACAATGATTGCAGATCCCATGACCAAGGGACTCGCTCCAAAAGTCTTTAAAACACATGTAGCTAATATGGGCATTGTGGAAACATTTGATGCTTTTTGTTAGTGAGAGTTATTTATGAACTACATTTTGGGTTTGATCCCTTTATGAGGTATATAGGTAACTCATATGTTTTTCGGGTACAGTCCCTTCTGATAAAATATATTTTTTCTATCCATGAACTATTTTGAACATGCATTTGACTTATGTCTTTTTATGATATTATTGTGATCTCGAGATATGACAGATAAAGACATAAAATGAGTCTCTTCTAGAGACATGTGGCTTCATTTTGATCTACATCATTATGAGGACCGATATGAACTAGCACAGTTTTTTATCACATTTGATGCTAAGTTCGTACCACATTGGTTGGAGGATGGGGATTCATGTCGATAAGGATGTTGGCATTTGTAGCTGTGGAATGGTCTTACATCGCTTAATTGGTGTAATGACTTTCATGTTCGATGTTAATATTCTTGTTGAACCGGATAATGTTACGTAAAGTGTCATCATTGGAGCTATACTTTTGTGACCACCTATGTAGTCTAGCCGGGTGTTAAAACTTTGTTATAGCAATCAAATATTTGCCCAAGTGGGATAATGTTGAAATAATTCCATATGTAGGCTTCACATTCAATTGCAAATTCTACGGATTAGATGTATGGCTCATGATGATATTTGTGTTTGGGGCAAATTTATTAAGTGATCAATTGTGCCGTTTTACACTTTACGGGATTTATTTGATATAACATGGTAAATTCGAGCATGTGAATCGAAATTATGCGTAAACCCTAATTAGGATTAAACTCTTTGACCAGGGGCCCATTTTCAAAAGGAATTTCTCATTCTGTGACATGAATATGCCGAAAATAAGGTCCTTGTCTCCCACTTTTGTCCCACTATCCAATAAATTTGATTGCTTCTTTTAGATTTTTTCATCTTTTTTAGGTAATAAATGGGAATCGCTACTCACATGTCTCACTATCCAAATAGAATAAAAAATTTGTCCCACCATGCATCAGACAATGTGGAATGTTAACCTTTTATATACTGTTTTTGGCACCAAATGGTGAGGGCACACGATATCGCATGAACGTGTTGGTCTAGTCTGTGTATTTTCATATCATTTGAATGTTTATCGAACTTTGATCGTGTTTTTCAATTACATGCAATTTTCAAATTTCATAGAGTGCGTTTGGTTATCAATATTTTTCATGAAAAGTGTCATTTTTTTCATTCAAATTCTTACTTTTGCATTATTTGATTGATTTTTTTCATGGAAAATATTTTCCTACTTTTGGTCATGCGACCATATTTTTTTTAAAACAAAAAGGAAAATTTTTCTTTAGTGGGACTATATTTTTATTTTTCAGACAATTCACTCTCTTTCTCTCATTTACTCCCTCTATCTCTCATTTACCTACCAATAAAAAATGGACAAATATAAACATTTTCAAGATTAATGATAAAATTAATCAAACACGTTTAATTAACAATTTCCATACAAATAATTTCTAGGCAATTCAATTGTCTATAATTTATTTAATTTCCATGTAAATTTCATACTTGTAATCAAATACATCCTTATATTTTTTAAGAAGGTAATCAAGTGATGAATTAGCCATCTAATTTGATAAATTTGTTGATTATTTGATTATTATTATTATTATTTTGGCTAAATTTAATGGTCATTTGAATAAGGATTTGACAAGTTTGAATCATTTGATGACCATTTGAAAAACATCTAAAGTTTAATGGCCAATAGATAATAATTTGATAAGTTCGATAATCTTTCGAAACTTTTAAAGTTTAAAAGTCAATGAAAATCGTTATGTAAAATTCAATGTCCATTTAAATTTTTAACTCTAAACTTTCCTTCACTAACACTCGTATTGTTAACGACATTTTTCCATCTTTTTTTCCCAAAAAAATTTGACACTCAAAGAAAATTGAAAACACTTGTACTTTATTTATATTGATTTATAATTTATCTCCTTGTATTAGTTGAGCAAACTATGCTTAAATGTATCGTATTTGATGGCAATTCTATTGTACACGGACATTAAATTATCATATGTTATTTCTGATTTATAATCCATGTACTTTTATTTATCTCACCATTTGTTTTCAATGAGATATATTTTCAAAGTATGATTTTTCTTTTTCTTTTTTAAACGCTGTTAATTGTCCAAAAATAAATAAATTGTTAGTTAATGTATGTAGTCATGATTTTGTGTATCACAACAAAGTCATTAAAATACCGCGCGCATAATACGTGTTCTTGACTGATTTTCACGGACGAATCATCATCTTATTTCAGCATAATATACTGGAATTCTGATTATCTAATACAATTTCATAACCTTCAAGAGTATTAATGCAGTAACAAGCATTACAAGATCTAAAACACATATTAAGTATATCCTGTTGTGGAAAGACAGGAATGTATAAAACTGGGGGGAATGAAAAGTTCAATACGACCCAGATATCCACAAATGTTACATTTGGCATGTTTCAAACAAACCTTGCACAGCCACCACCATTTACACAGAACTGGTAAAGGTTCAATGATGCAACAACAATCTTGTCACTAAATTTTAGAGTTGGCCACATGAATAATTTTTCATCATCAGCCTAAATTTTCATTACCGGTCCCTAGCTCAGGTAAATCATAGTATGTTGACAATCAGTACGACATTAATCCTAGGACACATTTAACATAATGATGCAACATACAATAAATTACATTTTTCGATTCTTGACAATTAATGACATGGAAAGAAAACATCCCTTTCGGGCAATAAGGGAATAAGTTTGGACAAAAAAATGAGTTTTTGAATAATAGGGTTCAAATAGGGGCTTAAATGAACGAATAAAAAAGTATGAGCACAACTGAGAGAGAATGGAAATAAACATCTCATGTGTCTAAAGCAAGACCAAGAAATTTTAATCAATGGATGAATAATAGAATAAAAAACATAACTTGCTTGACGACAAGGTTATCCAACACAATCACAATATGTTTCCCCGCATTGTAAATAAACAAGAACCCTTTAACAAACAGTCATGGCATTATATTTAAAGATCATGGGCCAGCGTACCAAATGAAATAAAATATAGAAGTTAAATATATGTTAGACATCGTTCAAATGCTCATATTGCTAGTTTTTGAGGCTGAAAACTTTATACTGAAGATTCTTAAGCCAATCTCCTCTATCCTTTTCCTCTAAACCATTTGTAGAACCTTGTTGCATTGTCAGTAGGCTCACCATCACCATATCTGCAACCAGCAAACCACCCCCAAAACTTCAATTGCATACTAACTCATTTACCCTATGATTTTTTTGGCAGATGCAGATATGTATTCATTGTTGAAACATAAAATTATATGCACACAAATAACTAATCACTATACATCTGGCACATGCATATACACAAAGGCCATTACAGGCAAAAAGAATCTAGCACTCTGTGAAGTTTTTTTTACCATATAAACTATCAGCTTTAGGTTCAATATCGGAAAATGAACATTATAAACTCTAGGAATTGAAGATACCATATACTTACCTTCCAAATATTATGAAGTGGCTTCAATTGGCAATTTTTAATTGTACATGAGTAACTCAACCTATAAAATACACAAATGTTGTCAATTAAATATCAAAATCAAATAAACTCTGAAGTTCAAATGTTGGCTTCAATTTGCTGGTAAATCAATTATGCAAGAGAAGTGTGTGTGCTGTGTTACTGTTTTATATAATATCTTATATGATATCTAAACTAACTACGTAATGACAAGAAAACAAGGAGTGCTAAAGTAAATTCAAGCATCCCAAAATTTCTTACAGGGTGAACGTTTCCAATGTACAGGTTAGCTCCCATATCAACACTTCTCATCTTTAGATGCCTGAAAAGCAAAACAAGTTGATTAAACAAATTAATCATATTTTAGTTACAATGTTGCAGTGATTCTTACAATAACAATAAAGACACTAGGATCTGCAAAAACATACAAAATGGTGACAAACTGAAGTACAAAATGACATGTAATTACATACCTTATTCATCATATAACCTTCCCATGCAATCTAATCATATTTGTTAGGATCTTCCTCTAGCTGCTCAAGGTGATTTCCGGGCTCAGTTAACCTTTAAACACCGAATCAACACCAAAAACCGAAGGTACCCGAACGCCGCCGCTCCTTTCTACCTATGGTTGCTTTGCTTCCTTTTGCTTGTTGTTTGCTCACTCACAAAGGATGAATACCACACAGGTAAGGGTCACAAAGATACAAGCAAGAGATAGAGAAGATCAATCAATAGGATGCACGAAGAAGAAGAAGGCAGCCTCTCTCTCTCTTTCTCGGGTTCTTTCAAAACAGGACAAATAGAAGGCAAGAGAGTTACCAATATATATAGTAGACCAATGACAAACTAAGGTAAGTTATACATATGGTAAGTAAGCTCGACTAGGGTTATGGCCCAATAGCACACCAACAAGCCACAAAGGTTTATTAGCCATCCAATAGGTAAAACAACGTTAAGTCGGGTCATCCCATTATTCGGTGTTGATTTATCGTTTAGTCATTCATGTCGACTGATAAAACTGGTTTACATCATCGCCCGAGAGGTCGTTTGACAACATGATGTCTAACAATATTTAGAAACTTAACTGCCTGCAGAAAAAATCGCTTTTGAAATTGGGGGAAAAAAAAGAATTGCATTGTTAAACGCAATCTAGAACTGCTATTGATGCCCACTTTAAAAAATATTAATCACCATTCATTAGTTAAAGGGCTCTATTCAAAGTTCTCTTTTAATTAAAATAAGGAAAATGAAGAATATTAGGAGGATTTATCAGAAAAAAAAGGATAATAGACAGAGAAATAAATAGGGTTCTACCTCCTAGACAGAGAATAAGATTTGGTGATTTGATCCATAGCTCGTTCAGCCTCTTTTAATTCTTACCTTCAAATCCTTTACAAAATGAAAGCTGCTGTTTGGTGGTAAAAAATTCAAGTATGCTTTGGCCCTCACTACCTGGTCTTTCATCTCTTTAACCTTCTCATCTAATGCCCTGCCTGCTATATGCTATACGTTCTGATCATGCTGAAACCTGTTTGGCTGAGAATGTTGCTGTCATAGAACAAAAGATATAAATGATGAAAGAGGAAAGAAGCAAAAGAAAAGGTAATAGAGAAGGGAAAATTCGAAAGACAAAGGACATGCTAGTGCTACTCCACCAACCAGTATAGAATGATTATGAAATTTGTAATAAGAATGGAAAGAACATATCCATAAAATATAAAAATAGCTTCAGCGAAAAACATAAGAAAACACATGATGAATGAGGAGTTGCAAAAACACAAGCATAATAGTTGACAGAAAATCTGTGAAAGGTCTGCTTACGTTTCAAAATAAGAACACATAACAAAGAAGGAAATTAAAATATGGTAAAAATTGTGAGAAAGAATGGTTGCATGATTGGGCGCCATGGCGCCCAAATTGGAAAAATGGAGCAGTGATGTGGGCGCCATGGTTCTGAACGAAACTTGGCGCCATGGCGCCCATTTCAATTCTATATATATAGCTGTTTTCCCCTTCATTTTAAGACCCGATTTTGAGAGAGAAAAATAGAGAGGGCATGGATAGAATTTTACAAGTAAGAGTTTGTTCTTCTTGGGTATAAATTCAAAGCCATTTTTTTCTTTCTTTGGGATTAACTTGAGGCTTGTTCAAGTAATCCAATACATTGTTCTTCCAATATACATTGAAAATCATTTCTTCCCCATTTTCTTGTTCTTGAAGTGGTTTGGGATTTTTCACATTGTCAAGTTTGTTTGATCTTGGGCAATCCTTGGGAGGTCGTTTCCCCTACAATTTGGTATCAGAGCTTCTTCTTAAATCAAGGTGGTTAAGCTTCGATTTTTGGTGAGTTGCTTGAACTTTGTTGTGCACACAAGGTGTTTGTAAAAATTTCCAAGTGAACTTTGGTGGTTTATTTCCGGTAAACAAGTAGATAAATCATGTCTACTAGAGGAATGGTGAAGATTGGGAAGTATGAGATAGAGAAATTCAATGGGAAAAATGATTTTTCATATTGGAGAATGCAAATGAAAAATTTGTTGATTTCTCAAAAGTTGCACAAGGCATTGGCTGGAAAGGAGAAGAAGCACGTTGATATGTCGGACGAGGATTGGGAAGAGCTAGATCTTGAGGCACGAGCGTCTATCATTCTATGCTTTGAAAGAGATGTTGCTTTCTTGGTTGATAGTGAGGTAACGGCGGCGGAGGTGTGGACAAAGATGGAGGCGAACTTCATGACGAAGACTCTAACAAATCAGATCTATTTGAAGTCCAAATTGTATACTTGCAAGATGGATGAAAGTACACCAATCCGAGAGTACGTCAACAAGTTTGATAGGATCATATCGGACTTGAAAGACATTGATGTGGAAGTAGATGATGAGGATCAAGCACTTCTACTACTTCTTTCATTGCCAAAGTCTTACGAGAACCTAGTACAAACATTGATGCTTGTGGGTAATAAACTTGTGATGGAGGACACTAGAACGTCACTTCTAGCAGATGATCTTCGAAAGATTGCAACTAGTGGCATGTCTACCATTGGTAACAAGGAGCAAGCTCAAGGATTGTTTGTAAGGGGTAGAAGCAATGTGCGACTAAAGGGCAAGGGAGAAAAGTCTAGATCGAGTTCTAGACCTCTTGCGGAAAGGTCTTGTTTCAAATGCGGTGAGCTCGGGCATTTCAAGGCGAATTGTCCTAACAAAAAGGGTTGGAAGAAGAACAATAAGAATAACAACGGGAAGGTGCAAGTCAAGTAAGTGGATTCTTGACTCTAGATGCTCTTACCATATGTGTCCAAATAGGAAGTGGTTTACTACCTATAGAAGCACTGATGGTGGAACCGTATTGATGGGTAATGACCATTCCTGTAAAATGGTGGGGCTCGGTTCAATTAGAATCAAGATGCATGATGGAGTGGTTGGAACATTGATGGATGTTAGACATGTTCCTAATTTGCGAAAGAACCTTATCTCTGTTGGTGCCTTAGATTCCGGTTGTTGCAAGATTGTAATATGGAATGGAGTAAAGAAGGTTGTTCGTGGTTCTTTGACTATGATGAAGGGTATTCGTGAAGGCAATCTCTATGCTCTTCAGGGTACTACAGTTACAGAAGATGTAGCGGTTGGAACAAGTGGAAGTGGTGGAGACCCATGTGAGTGCACTCGACCATGGCATAGGAGGCTTGGGCATATGTCTAAAAAGGGGCTAGATTTGCTAGTCAAGAAAGGTTTGCTAAAGAACTTGAAGAAGCCTTGCATGGATTTTTGCGAGCATTGCGTGTACGGTAAAGCACACCGAGTTCAGTTCCAGCCAAGCAAACATAGAAGCAGAGGCATTCTAGACTATGTGCACACGGATGTATGGGGTCCGGCTTCTGTCACTTCCAAAGGCGGCTCCAGGTATTTTGTTACATTTGTTGATGATTATTCTAGATATGCTTGGATTTATTTTTTGAAGCGTAAGAATGAGGTATTCGACACTTTTAAGAAGTGGAAAGCAATTGTTGAAAACAGAACAGGAAAGAAATTGAAGACACTGCGATCTAATAACGGTACTGAGTATACAGATGGTGCTTTCAAGGAGTTCTATGGTAAGGAAGGCATTGCGAGACACTGGACAGTTAGAAATACACCGCAACAGAATGGGGTCGCGAAAAGACTGAATCGCACATTTCGAGAGAAATCGATGTGTATACGATCCTATGCTGGTTTGGGCAGAGAATGGTGAGCAGAGTCGGTTGCAAATGCTTGCTCCATAGTGAACCGGTCTCCACATTCAAAGTTAGTTGGAGATGTACCTTACAGGGTATTGATAGGAGAACATGCAGATTATGAGAAACTCAGAATATTCAGATGCACAGCGTACTATCATGTCAACGAGGGAAAGCTTGATGCGAGGGCCAAGAAGGCTATATTCTTGGGGTATGCGGCAGGTGTAAAAGGCTATCGCCTATGATGTGTAGAGGATTCTAAGTTCATAATCAGCAGAGATGTTACTTTTGATGAGAACCCCATGATAGCTTCGTTGAAAGCTACAGTGCCCGGTGGTGATGATGTTGAGACTTCAAAGTCTCAAGTTGTTGACATAGAACCTAGAGATCAACCTGGTTCTAGGTATGTTCAAGAGGAGCATCATGCAGACACTCAAGATGAGAGTGATGTTGGGCTTGAATAAGAGGCGGTTCAGCAAGAGAATGTACAGGCACAGCAACAAAAGCAGCTTGCAGATAACTTGGCATCCTCTAGGCCACGCTGTACTTACAAGCAAGTTCTAAAGTTGGGGTCAGACAAGCCTTTGAGGCACTATGGGCAGACAAATTTGGTTGAGTATGCACTCTCGGTGGAGGATGATGAGCCTACCACTTTCAAGGAAGCTATTCTAAACGACAATAGTGAGAGTTGGTTGGCAGCAATGGAAGAAGAGATGGAATCACTTCACAAGAACCAAACATGGGAGGTTGTCCTATTGCCCATAGGTAAGAAAGCTATTGGTTGCAAGTGGTTGTACAAAAAGAAAGAGGATCCTACCAAGCTCGGTGGTACAAGATTCAAAGCAAGGTTAGTGGCTAAGGGGTTTGCACAAAGAGAGGGAGTTGACTACAATGAGATCTTTTCTCCGGTGGTCAAGCATACTTCCATTCGGGTGCTATTGAGTATTGTTGCTCATCATGATCTTGAGCTGGAACAACTCGATGTCAAAACCGCCTTCTTGCACGGGGACTTGGATGAGGAAATCTATATGCATCAACCTGAGGGCTACAAGGTTGAGGATAAGGAACGTCAGGTATGTCGCTTGAGAAAATCAATTTATGGATTGAAGCAATCTCCTCGACAGTGGTACAAGCGATTTGACTCCTTCATGCTAAAGCATGGTTTCTCCAGAAGTGAGTATAACTGTTGTGTTTATATTCGAAAACTTCGGGGAGGTAACTATATCTATCTTCTTTTGTATGTGGATGACATGCTTATCACTTCGAAAAGCAAGGTGCAGATAGATAGGTTGAAATCTCAACTTGGTAAAGAGTTTGAGATGAAGGATATGGGGGCTGCTAGCAAAATGCTGGGTATGGAGATTAGAAGAGAGAGGACGAATCGGCGAATGTTCTTGAGTCAGAAAGGCTACATTGAGCGGGTTATTGCTAGATTCGGGTTGCAAGGTGCAAAGTCGATGGTGACGCCATTGGCTCCACATTTCAGGCTCTCTGGTAAACAATCTCCTACTACAGCGGAAGAAAAGGTACGCATGGATCGTGTACCTTANTAGAGGCCGAGTATATGGCCATGGCAGAGGGAGTGAAGGAAGCATTGTGGTTATGGGGTCTTCTAGATGATTTGGGGATTGAGTAGGATTGTATGGACTTATGGTGTGATAGCCAGAGTGCAATTCACTTGGCAAAGAATTAGGTTCATCATGCTCGAACCAAGCATATCGACGTCAGGTATCATTTTGTGCGTGATGTCATAGAGGAAGGTGATATTTCTCTCTTGAAGGTACACACAAATGAGAACCCAGCAGACATGTTAACCAAAGTGGTAACAAGTAGCAAGTTTCAGTATTGCTTGGACTTGCTTCACATTAGTCCGTGTTGATATGCCCGAGTGGGCGTGGCCCTTCGGGGCGGGGTTGAAATGAGGTGGAGAGTATATGAAGGTGGAGGTGAACTACGGAGGCTTGATCCCGAGTTTTGGGTACGTAGGCAACTATGGTTTGAATGGTGCAGCCGAGTTTGGAGCTTGCTGCTTCTCTTGTGTTCGTCCAAAATTTGAAGTCTATCAAATGATGTACGAGGTGGACAATTGTGAGAAAGAATGGTTGCAGGGAGGCATGCGCCATGGCGCTATGATTGGAAAAATGGAGCAGTGATGCGGGCGCCATGGCGCCCAAGGTTCTTGATTCAATTCTATATATATAGCTGTTTCCCCCTTCATTTTAAGACCCGATTTTGAGAGAGAAAAATAGAGATGGCTTGGATAGAATTTTACAAGTAAAAGTTTGTTCTTCTTGAGTATAAATTCAAAGCCATTTTTTTCTTTCTTTGGGATTAACTTGAGGCTTGTTCAAGTAATCCAATACATTGTTCTTCCAATATACATTGAAAATCATTTCTTCTCCATTTTCTTGTTCTTGAAGTGGTTTGAGATTTTTCACATTGTCAAGTTTGTTTGATCTTGGGCAATCTTTGGGAGGTGTTTTCCCAAGAAAAATGTTCTAAACATAGCCATATTTATGCTCCATTTTTGTAAAAATACATTTTTCTCTTTTTTATTTTTGACCACACATTTTCCAATAAACTAATATTATACGCAAACTCAAAACTTTTTCTTAATATTAAACCACACATTCTCCAAAAAATACTATTTCAAAACACAACTTTCCCCAAAATTTAATTTTAATGGAGCCCAAACAGGGGCATAGCGAGAACTCATGAAAACCTAAGGCAAAATAAATGGAAACCACAAAGAACAAAGATCTCTCATTACACATTTTTGGAAACAAATGAAACTTATAAAATTGAACATTTCATTGTTGAACTAAGCTTAAATCCAGTAAGGTTTACACTGTACAAAAATTTTCAAAAAATCAGCGGCATAGAGATTACTCAGGAGAAATGAAAAACAAGAATGAACTTGTACAAATAAAATTAAATCTTGTAAGGTTTACACTGTAGGGAAATTTTCAAAAATTCAGTAGCATAGAGATTACTCAGTAGATATGGAAAAGTAACAAAAATGAACTTGCTTCTACCTGTGCCAAGGAAAGCGTTCCTCCAAGTTCCATATTATTAAACTGGTTCCCTTTGTTGATCTCTGTAATATACAGGATGGTCCACCTGCATGAGGGAAAAGAATAGAAAAAGGATCTGACTACTTCAATCATACTCCAGTTGGCTCAGGAGGATATAGCTCAGTTTATTAGGAGTCTGATTTATGACTACAACCATTTTTGAACAAGATTGAGATAGAAGACATTTTAATATGAGAAAATGACAAACATTTATAAATATTGAAGTATCTATAATTACAATTTAGATATTAATCGCTAAAAATGAGAATGATCATCACTATGGATTGAAGTAGTAAGTATTCCAAAAAAAATTAGGCATAGTTAAAATGACATCGAACACTTTGATGCACATTTTATGTTTATAAGCACGCAATTCATCTAATGCATATAATACCTTACCCCGAAAACTTTTACTATTATAGAAGGTTGCTCAATAGATAGCAAACAAATATTATTAAGAGCCCATTTGACACACATTAATTTATTTTAAGGTTTGCTACATAACCATTTTCAACCACACATTCACACAATAAAATATTCTCCTTGTATAATAAAAATTTTTCCCTACTTTTTGACCACACATTCCCCTAAAAATCACTATTCAAAAATCCTTTTTTCTACAATAATAGTTGTCAAACAGGCTCTAAACAAAAGAGCAGCTGATTTACATTGAACGATAGGATCATAAAAGGAATAAGACTGCTATAGCTTTTAAAAGAAAATACAGCATAACATAGGCAATAATATTGATGGTGTTGATGAATAGAGGGAAACAAGTTGTTCACCATTAAATGAATATTGGTATAAAATAACACCCAAACGATCTACGATGGTTTACAAGTTGAGTTCACTCACGTTGAATTTAGTGCATTATGATAGAAGTTCCTCAGAGCTGGTATGACAGGAGATACATGTACATCAGGGTACAAACAATCTAAAGCATAATAATCACGGGCCATAACTTCAGTCTCGATTGACCATTTAAACAACATGACCAATTATGGCAAATCTTGCTTGATTCATCCTTCCACGAGCCCATATTTTGTTCTCCTACATGAACCTTTCATATGACTTAAAAAAAAAAAAAAGAAAAAAAAAACACTTTATATCTATATAGAACAAAATGCAACAATTCCATTAAACATTAAGAGACTATAACAACTTCATTCTTTTAATCCAATGTGAATGAGAAATTAATCAACCATAGAATAGGATCACTTGAAATATAAGAATCACTCCTTAAGGTATAAAAATCAGATCTTCAATGACCAAATCTAGTACAGCAAAATAACGTCCAAGTTTTCCATTTTCCAAGAACAATAATTGCCAGTATACAAGGAGACAATCAAAATTTTCACAGCCCAAAACTAACATAATTATCGCATCCCATTAATATTAGCCTCTATGGCCAAAAAAAAAAAAAAAAGGATTACAGAGACTATACCTTTTCCTTTCTAACAAGCTGAAAGCTTTGAACAAGACCAGTAGTTGCAAAAACTTCGTGAAGTGGTTTAGTCACCTAGGTGTGAATGTTTCCGACATACCTGCATTTTCTCGGAAATAAAAACCCAAACCTACATTCACGTAAAATCTTTTGAACATTGTAGTCAAAGATTCGGGGCTGAAATGGTTCCAAAATGTTAGAGCTTCTTCTGTTCCTATAATTCTCATATTCAACAGTAAAATGCATACCAGAAACACCTCTTTTTGGATCAGTTCTGAAAAAGTCCTAGTAACTTGGGGTTGACTACATGAGTCTTCCTTTATTATTGAATGGTCCAATAAAACTAGATATTTTAATCACATTATCATAAAATATTAATTTTGGTGTACATGCCCCTCTTCTAACATGTTTTCTTTTGGGACCTCATTGATTCTTGTGAAAAAGAACTTCTCCGAATTTACACGATACATATCTAACAATTCAAGTCATCATTTTTTCTTTTTTATCTTCAATGAAGTCACCTCGACTTGTCGTGGGTATTCATTTCTGATTTTATCCATTCTTCTATGGCCATATATCCATCTTAAAATTTGTATTCGCCTTAAGAACAACTGCCTTTATCATGGACAAAATTTATTATGAACAAGTATAGTTGATCTAATAAGCGTTGGCAATTGCCTTTTAAAGTGAGTACATATTTCACAAAATATAGAACTCTTGTAGCATTGCTCCATTTCATTATGTGAGGTTGGTATGTAAATTAATCAAGTTGCTATTATCCTTATTCCTTCTTAACGAAATTGGACATTTCAATTAATGTATTTAGTTCTACTTAACCAAAAAACCTATAAATTTCAAAGTACTCCTCCATGCTTCTACTTTACAGTTTATGATGTTTATCTGCGTCTTGGCTCAATGAACTAAAACTACTATAGCTAAAACAAAAAGATTTTGCCACCAAAGTATGCAAAATGATTTCTATAGTAAATCTTTGTGGCTTGAAATTGAACTAATTTTGAAATATATATTGCACCCTCTCTCAAAATTTCACAGTCAGACTTGTAATTGAAGTACTTCTGAAGATAAAATTGTAAATACCTCCAACAAAGTAGTGGTCAAGGTATTAGAAGAAGAAAAATACCTCTCTAAGAAGCACAGCTTCTGGAAATGGCCCGGTGGCTTCATCACGTTTAGGAACAAAGCGATGGTTACTCTCTCTTTCTTTGCTGTTGCCACTGTTAATGGGGTGCCCCTGAACCTCACCTTCTGTAAAGAAAGAGGTCAAAAGCCAGAAGTTCACTTACGCCGATTTGCTGAAACCAAGAAACGATAATTCCCATTTAGAGAGGAGCAGCCACTGGAAAATGGGTTCACCAATAATTTTCCCATTACAAAGAACCGTTAATGGAAAGGAAAGGGTTAAGAAATCGACCTAGGCCTTGCGGTCATTGATCTCGAGCTTCAGGTCCTCTTTCGCAACGCCGGCTTCTGCAACGGATCCTTCTTCTTCATCGTCTTCGTCTCCTTCGCCCTCATCCCCAGAGTGTATGTCGAAGTCCGATGGTATCGCGATCCTCTTTGTCCCCGTCCCCGTCCCCGTCCCCAAAGTTGATGTCCGAGTCCAATGGAAATGGAGATACAAAGGTAAAGCAAGTATGAAGTGAGAGCCGCCCGGCATAGGCTAGTGGTGCAAAGTACAGACGTGAGGTTATCGCACGTCATGCCAGTTGCAGCGTGGGGTTCCATTCTTAAAATATGGAATTGGACTCTTTGTAAACGTAGTATACTCTTATTTCTTGATGTGTTGGAACACATATCATTTACCTCCCTCACAAAATTTTAGAGATAGGAAGGTGGAAGCCCTTAAGATTGGGGTTCAACCTTAAGTTTGAAGTGAGAGACAACTAAAAATACAGGAAGATATACTAAGGCTGCGTTTGAGGAGTCAGTTAACGGACCCCCACCCCAACCGCTAGACCCCATTAACAGATAATTGACTTCTTGTGATTTCTTTGCAGATTTGGATTTCTTCAACAATACAAATAATCTTTTGTTTAAATCAATGAATATTAAAAAAAAAAAAATACATCATCCATCGTATTATAAGCTAACGAAATTAAAATCTAATCAAATAAAATGAAGAAACCTTGAAGATGGAGATGGATGAAGAACCTTGAAGAATGGAGAGGAGATGGAGATGGAGATGGAGATGGAGATGGAGATGGAGAAACCTTGAAGAATCGATTTTTGGTAAGAGAGAATTTTCACTCTTCAAATTTCTAACGTCCAAAATGGGTTAAAATGGATATTGTGAATTTAAAAAAAAAAATTTACGTTTTTTTTATTTTTTATTTTATTTTATTTTATTTTTTATTTTTATTTTTATTTTTCACTTAAGTTTGATCAAAGGTCATTGTGAAAAAATAGGCCGGTCAACTGGCCATTGGCCGCCAATTCCTTATTACACTCATGAATAGTAAAAAGAACTCATTTTTGAATATGAACAATGTTACGCGTACTGGATTTTTTTTACCCAATCTCTTAACTGCTATTCACAATAAGAATGAGAACCACATGTCGGCATTTTTAAGTTCACACGGGACACGCATGCATTGTGAGAGGGGAGGCACCATTCGGTATCCTCATTCAGTACATATGAAATAATCTATTTGAATAGTAGTGTGAAACGGATACTCAATAATGAATAGTTTTTTTTTTGGATGGCCCCTATTAAGGTAGTGTAGACATAGATAGATAGATAGCCCAAGTTATTTTTTAAAGTTTAATCTTTCAACAATTGAGAGTTAGAGCATCAGTTGCTCCATCTTCATATATCATAATTCACGACAATCTCTAATCAAAATTGATGTACAACCTTTCGTTCCTTCAAAATGTTAGAAGAGTAAATTTTGAGTTAACTCTTGAAATATTTTTTAAAGTCCAATCTTTCAACAACTGGAGTTACAACATACGCTGCTCGACCTTCATATATAACAATTGTCTCTAATCAAAATTGACGCGCCGCCTTTCCTTCCTTCCAAAGGCTAGAAAGAGCATATTTGAAGTCAACACTTGAAATTACTTTTAAGTCCAATCTTTCAACAATTGGAAGTTGATACGTTGCTCAACATTCTTTCTTTCTTTCAAAATGCTAGAAGAGTAAATTTAAAGTGTTTGAGCCCCTGTTGAGAATATATTTTGAAATAGTAGATTAATGAAGATTATGTGGTTAAAAAATAAGATTTTTTTTTTTTGAATTTGCGCGTAACATTACTATTTTATTAAAGAATGTGTGTTTAAAAGAAGATAGAAAAACATATTTTGAGAAAAATGAGGATCAAACAAGAAAATTAAGTTGAAAATTTTAAATTATTATTATTGAAACATTGAATGTTTTTGTTTAGTAAAAAATAAAATCTTATTTATATTCATTGTAAGTGATTTTATTTTTAACTTAGAATGCCCTATGTAAAAATTTGATTTAGAACCCAAAATCTTAAGGTTGCATTGTACATGTCTACTCGAGTTTGTAATTTCTATTATTTCCATTCAATTATAATACATATTTTTGCTCATGGTGGTTTGAGCAAAAATGAAGAAGAAAAAAGCAAATAGTGTGTGTGTTTTTTTTTCCCTTTCTTTCTTTCCTTTCTTTCTTTTTTCTTTTTATTTTTTTAAAATTTAAATGCTTATTCATCTTATCCTCGTAAGTTCATTGTTGACGACCAAATGGACAATGACATCCATTGAAAACCAATGACCCACAAAAACTAAATGTCAGGAACATACTACCCAAAGGACCAAGTTGCTACAACCTACAAGGTCATAAGTCGATTAATGGTGCAATATTCCCTTGTCCTCTACAATAAACATTGTTGGTTGTTTATCTAAAAATAAATAAATAAATAAATAAATAAAGCTTGATTTATTTTATTATAATTTATGAATGATTATTTCTGCTAACTACAACATATATGTTCAAAGTCATGAAATGAAATATACACGGGGATCTCAAAGTTGCCAATGATACATTACACATTTACACAATTTATTTCAAGCAAACTCGGTAGGCCAAATTTGAAGTCCCAAATTGCGAAAATTATTCAATCTCTAGTGGGACTTGAGATATAGAATGTGTGTTTTTCATCTCTTTAATTTCATGCCTGCTTTGGCATTTTCGTGTTATATTTTGCATCTTCTAGTTGATTATACTCTCTTGCTATCATGTAATAATTATGTAGTACATATATTCACCACATCATGAGAAACGAGTAAATAGACAAAAGAAAAAGAAAATTACTAATTAATATGGGCATATATAGCTAGTTTCTTATAATGACAAAGAGGAGGTTCTTATTTTAGTATTCTAATGCTGTATTCTTTCCATTATTGTTGGTTATTATCAATGCGTCCGCTTATGTAATAGGACTACAAATGTAATTTAGTGACAATAAAACTTAGGTTGTCATTTTTTTTTTCATTTTGGTTTGAATCCAATCAATGTCTAATTTAATTTGTTTCTTTGGACAATTTTTGCTTTAGCTGAAAGGTGTACCTTTGGTTATTTCGGACAGAGGTAGCTAGATGATGCATCTCGTTTGGAGATATTCCTTGTGTCCTTATTCCTATTCTTCGTAGGCCTGGGGACTTTCTTGGACGTATCTACATATCTGACTTTAATGCACAGAGATACCTCGTTAGATTCATAACTCTCATTCTCTTACATTGCTACATCCAACAATCTCTTCCTAATCCCAGTTGTCTGGTGACTAACAGCCTCAATTTGCTTGCAAAACTGGTCTTCCATCACAGTATTTTTTGGTAGATGGGTCACCGTCCATCGTTCTAGCCAGCTCTACCCGCGTCGATTTCGTTACTGTTGGATTTGATTTGTTTTTAGATGTTATCAACTGCATTATTAGAGGGAGTACACCCGTTGCACAAGAAAAGCAGTGTCGAATTTTCAGATTGCCTTAAAATCTACAATAGTTCTTTTACTAATTTTTCCCTATCGCTGGTTGGATCAGGTTCACAAGATACTATTTTATGAGATAAATCGAGTTCTGTTAGCCATATAGTATGTTTGTGCAATATTTATCTTATTGTCCAATGTTACATCCCTTCCGCGGTATTATATTTTAGCGTTGCATATGATGATAACTTTTCTCGAACCTATAATATTCCATTAATGCTAGCTTCAATACGAGTCCAATATTGATATTATAATTTGACTTTATTTGAAAACTATATTACCAATCAAGTAGTTTACTTTAATGAGCTATAATTGGCTTAAATAAATTAACAATTTCTTGAATTCATAATGCATCATTTAATACGATTTTCAAAATGAGCTTAATATTGATAGGATAATTCTCACTAATTATTTATTTGGCTCAAATAAAAAAAATTAGAGAATTTTAAATTTATTTTCATTTTGGTCCCTCAATATCTCAAAGTATCAAAATGTACTCAAATCAAATTGGTGAGCATCATGTGATTCTTCTTATCACTAATTAATCTTAACTCGTCAAGCACCTCCACACTTTTAAGTGTTGGTAGGATGGAGGATGACATTTTCATAACTCATATAGAGTCTCTTTCATTTTCTTATGGGATATTCTGTTAAGAAGATGATTTGCCATTAAGATGGCTTCCCCCCCACAAGTTCTGAGGTAAACCCGAACTTATCAATATTGTATTCATCATTTCTTTAAGCGTTCTATTTTTTCGTTCGTAATGTCATTCGATTGAGGAGAGTAGGGTGTCGTTATTTGATGAATAATTCCATTTTTGGAATAGAATTCTTCAAATGGTGCTCCATATTCACCTCCTCTATCATTACGAATATTTTTAATTCGTTTGTTAAGTTGCGTTTCAACTTCAACCTTGTATAATTTGAAGGCATCCAACGCTTCGTCTTTACTTCTTAAAAGAAAGATATAATAATACCTTGTACAATCGTCGATGAAAGTTACAAAGTACTTCTTACCGCCTCTAGTTTGTACGAATTTCAAATCGCATATGTCACTATGAATTAGTTCTAGAGGTATCGTGTTCCATTGTATCGAATGGAATGGTGTTTTAGTCATTTTTGCTTCAACACATACTTCACATTTGTGATTAGGATCAATTTTAAGCATCTAAATTAAACTTTGATTCATAAGTTTGTGCATTGATTTATAATTCACGTATCCTAATCGACCATGCCATAAACAAGATAACTCAAGCAAGTAAACTGAATTTGTAATTTTATTCATAACGCCTTGCTTTGGTACAATAGTTAGAA